ATATGAGTCATTTTATCTGCAGTCCTCAAGTACAGGCAGAATCCTGATTCTCAGTCAAATTTGTTCTGTGGTTGTTAAATGGTGTGTTGCAGCTTTGTCAAGGGCATGAGGTTGGGTGGTTTGTTTTGGTTTAGTTTGGTTGTTTTTTTAACAGAAATGTCTGTTTTCTGTAGCTATCACTGTCATGTGTATCCTTACCCCAATAACACGGAGGAGCGCAGGGCCGTCGTCGAAGGGCTGAATGTTCGTATCCAGGATCTTCACACTGTGAGTTATTCCCTTGGCTGTAGTTATGGCACCCTAGGAAATAATTTGTCAAATCACAGCATTAAATACATTAATATGTTTCTAAAATACATACAGCTTTGAATTTCAACTTGACTGTATGTCATGTGCCTGGTATCATGCTGCATGATTCTATTAAACTACCGAGCCCCTGGCATTGCCCTCTTGTTACCAGCAGTGGTTGGTGTGTCCTACAGATGTGATCCAGCACTTGGCAAATCCTAGGTGCTCTGGCTGTGGTTAACATAACCACTGCCACACATTCAATGAAATCTTTTTTGGTTTTCCTTGGACAAAGGTGCTGCATAAAACTGAGGATTACTTACGCCAAGTGTTGTGTAAAGCATCTGAATCCATCTACACGTGGGTTATCCAAGTGAAGAAGATGAAAGCCATTTATCATGTGCTCAACCTGTGCAGTTTTGATGTCACAAATAAATGTTTAATTGCTGAAGTTTGGTGTCCAGTGGCTGATCTGCAAAACTTGCGCCAGGCGTTGGAGGAAGGTTCAGTAAGTCAGCTGAATGCTCACTGAGTCTAAACTGTTGTCTTGAACTAACTATACAAATGAGGAAAGAAAAAATTATTGAGATTAAAAGTAGTCACAGACGGGTTGGGGTCTCTCTGAACTCATTCCCAACAAGTTCTTAATAAGCAAAGTCTTTATTTGCTGTTATGTGAGTTAGTTTTTTGGTGGGTTTGGTTTTTTTCCTATCTTGAGTAATTTCTGTGTTGAACCCAGGTCTGACTGGGCTCACAGTGCTATTTGCAGCCAAGTAGAAGGTGCCAGTTCTCTTGTGTTAGTTGTGTTGAGTGCAGCTCTGTCTTGTTTTATAAAAAGAATTTTAATAACAAATCTTTGTTGTATAATATTGACTGATGAGTCTTGACTGGTATTTCCTATAAGGTAAGGATTAGAACACTGTATATAATCAGTGTTTTCAGAGGAACAGAATAATATCAATTTATTAGGAATGCACAAACACATAAATGTTAAACTTGGGGCTTGATGTAGGGATGTTTCAGGATGAGTGAAACTACTGATAGAGGAATTGTTTTCACTTTGATTAGATTAAGCATCAACTGAATTCTTTTTTAATTAATGTATCTTCTTTCTATCTGTAATTAGAGGAAGAGTGGAGCTACAGTTTCTTCATTCATGAACACCATCCCAACAACACAACCTCCTCCAACTTTGATACGTACCAATAAATTCACCTCAGGGTTCCAAAACATTGTTGATGCTTATGGAATTGGAAACTATGGAGAAGTTAATCCAGGTTGGTCCTTCTGAAATCTGAACTGTGAGCTGTGCTGCCATTACTGCTTGCCTTGTTGCATGTTTAAACACCTTGCTGAACTGGACAGTAGGAAAGGCAAAAAAGTGGCAACCATATTCTGTGGTGTTAGCTGTTTTAAAATTGCTGTAGCTTATCAAAAGTACAAATGGTGCTTCAGTCAGTAAAATGGGATTTCATTTTGCTGGGTTATTTTAGCATTAAAGATACTGATAGTAGCTGTATAATGTTTATATGTTTTATCTAAGGTGAAATCTTTAGAGAGGAAAAAAAAACCCTTTGGTAATGGCTATTGATCTTACTGAAGTGTGCAGCTCATCAGCTGAAAAATTCCAGCTTGTATAGTCCACTCAGTTTAATGTCCTGGTGTATTTTTCCAGCTACACTGACTATGTCATGCTGTACAGGAGAATACATGTTCTAATACAGAACCAGAACAGCCATGGAGGAAGAACTGGTTGTTTGGGTTTTATTTCCTGGGCTCATGTTGTTATCCTCAGAATTGTCAGCTAACTCGACCGCAGAGTTATTGTTACTAAGGGATGCAGAGTAAGAAAGCTTTAAACCCAGTTAGATCTGTGGTGAGGGAGAAAGGTCTGTTAGTAGGGGGTGAAATGTCTTTCACACTTAAAGCTGAAAATTCTTTGAGAAGTTAAAACAGTTATGTTGGTCAGATATAATTCAGATAGCAACATCATCTGTTGTGCTGTGTGCCTGAAACCTGTGCTGTTGTCGTTGCAGCTCTCTATACCATCATCACCTTTCCCTTCCTGTTTGCTGTTATGTTTGGAGACCTTGGGCATGGGCTACTCATGTTCATATTTGCACTCCTGACAATATTGTATGAAAACCACCCGAAATTACAAAGATCACAAGATGAGGTAAAAGGAATTGCAGATAATTTACCATCCAGCAAGATAACTTCAACTGAAGTTACTATGTTTCTGATAAGTACTGTGTATTGCACATGTATTAGCTTGTGGGTTTTTTCCTTTGTTTCAGGATTTCCTGTGTTTAGAGTTGCCATATTCCTCAAGATTAATATGATATCTTAACAAACTATTCAAATTTTTTTTTGAAAGGGCAGAAAGAATCAAGTTAGAATAAAAGACTGACAAAAATCAGTTGATACTATTGGGCTTCTCTTTCCTTCTGCTGGGGCTCCTTTGTGATGTGTGTGTTTTACAGTGTGGTTACTGTGACTAATGTGTGGAGAAAGTTTTTCAAATTCCATCTTTAATTGTTTCTGATAAGGAATTGTAGTTTGAAATCTATTAAACTTAATTTTAACTAATTTTGGAATAATATGGGGTTGGAATATAAAAATACCTGCATCTCGTTAGAATTGTATTTGATTAAGAATAGCTGCAAATGTCTAACTTCTTGAAAACTATTCCCATGAAGGAAATGTGGCTTAAAAAGACTATTTTTGACAGAAAGCTGTGAACGTGGGGAGATGAGTCACACCCCTTTGACTGACATTTGTAAACTTCATATTCACATGCTTAAAGCAAAATTCCCTGGGTTACGTTTTGATTTCCTTTAGGTTTCTTCATATCCCTTAATGACTGTTCACAAGAATGTTGAGTTTTCAGAACTCTTCATATGGCCAAAAATATATTTCTCTTAGAAATGTCTCTGTAACAGTTGTTCTCATAGCAGATGATGTTTGTGTTTTTCTTTTTTCCAATGCTTACAGATAATGAAAATGTTATTTGAAGGCCGATACGTTATTTTATTAATGGGCCTGTTTTCTGTATACACTGGATTGATCTATAATGACTGTTTTTCAAAGTCATTAAATATATTTGGTTCTGGATGGAATGTTTCAGCGATGTTTGAACAGAAGGTTTGGAGGTGAGTAGCATGACTCTGTTTTCTATATCATTAAACAAAAAATGTATTTCCTGCAGCAGTTTCACCCTTTTGCTCACCCATTTTAACTGTCCTTTTATTGAGAGTATGAAGTAAACAGTGAAATCTGGCAAAATCTAGTTGTTAAGGTAGCAAGTGCTGGTGCACTAGGGGCTAAGTGACACATCTGTGCTGCTTAGAATAAAAAAGGCAGTAACAGTTATTTGAAAGCAAAAACTCAAATTGCTCATTCTCTTAAATTGGGAAATCCACAGAGGACACAGCTTCTTGCAAAACCACTATTTTAATTTGATTATGTTTAATTCATTCTGTCAATCTTGTATATTTTAGTGTTGCTTTACTGGATTTACATGTCCTCAGTCACCTGGAATGATTTCTAGAATATTATAATTTGGTACAGATGACAGTTAGTCTTCTCCTGGAAAAAAATTGTGTTGCCATACACTAATGCTGTATGCTGGCTAATAACTGATGAAAAACTGCAGCTGGCACAGTATCTTTTTATTGACAGTAAGAACTTGCACCTGATTTTTGAGGTGATATTTCTAGGGTTTATTAAGTCTCTAAACCTTCTTAGGTGTGTTTTACATCTTTTTTTTGAGGTCTCACAAAGGTATTCTTATGAATCGCTGGAGACTTCAGTAAGATTGTAAAATCCTGACAGAAGGCAGGAGGACTTTGACCTATTTAATAATGCCTTGTCATGTATTCTTTTTATTCATAAAAAATGCACTGCCTCCTGTGTTATGGTTTGTCTTTATGCTGATGGTTTTAGTTTGTCTCCAATGACTATATTTTCCAGGAGAGGTTTCTGAATAAATATATCTATCCTGGATTTTGAGAGAAATAGAAAACACAGGGCTAGTTTTGGGGAAATTTGTCCTAGGTCATACTTCTGGAATGAATAGGCAAGAACTATTAGTATTTACTGTAAAGAAATTAACAATTAATAAAATAAATTAATTACCTAGCAATCCTCAGTCTCTGCACAGCTTTTCTGTGTAGTTAACCTACTTTTTTCCTTTTTTTTTCCTTATATGAATTGTCTAATCTGCTTTTTCAGAAACTGGGATAACCTCAGTGTTTTGAGGTGTCGTGACCCTTTGATATTTCAGGGTTCACAGCCTGCATCTCATTTTGCCTTAAAAACAGGAAGTGGCTTGAAATAGTAGAGTCAAAACCACTGACTTTGGTTAAAATGTGAACAGGTTGTGAGAGCTGTGTTAATGAAAAAATCTGTGAAGTTAGAGTGGAAGCTCATCCAAATGCAAAAGAGGGAAAAAAAGGTATCAGTTATTCTTTGGGTGTTTATTAGTGAATTTTATGTAAAAGCAAATTGTGATCTTTTAAAAGAAAACTTCCCATTCTAGGGGAATGAGGAATAAAATCCAGAAACTTGTCTTTCCAAGACAGCTAGTGTGCATTAAGCCCAGATTGTGAGTTTCTGAAGATTTTTTTTTTTTTGCTATTGTTTTTCTTAGCCAGGCTCTTTGTGATTAGAAATCTTTTATTCTTCTAAAGACTGGCCATGGGTGAGCCAGTCATATGGAGGAAGGCAGGAGCAGCAGCCTGCAGAACTGAAAGTGTATGCTGTCACAGTGTTTCAAAAATGTCAGATTTTGCTCTATTTTTCTTTCTCTGCAGTTCTAAGGTTCTGGAGGATAATCCATTTTTAACTCTGGATCCAAATGTTACTGGTGTGTACAATGGAGCTTATCCCTTTGGAATTGATCCGGTGAGTTTCATTCTTTCAAATTACCCATTTTTGATGATCAGTCATTTGTAAATTAGATTGTAATAGTTGCATTAGGAAAATAAATCTTACTATGGAAAAAATACATTTCTGCTTCTCCATTCAAAATGAGCTTTTCTCTTAAGGTGTCAAAGAAAGATTTAACTATTTTCATGAAACTCAGATTCCAGTTGTGATCGCTGTTTGAGGTAGAATTCTGGTCTCCAGTGAAGGGTAGTGGTTTATTCCTTCCTTACACTGTTTTAAATGCTGTTTTTGTCTCCTTCAGATATGGAACCTGGCAAGCAACCGTCTCAGTTTTTTAAACTCTTTCAAAATGAAAATGTCTGTGATTTTTGGAGTGACTCACATGACGTTTGGAGTTGTGTTGGGGGTATTTAACCACTTGTAAGTACAAGAAGCTAAGATAATATTAAATGCTAGATTTTGTCAAGTCTTGAATTACAACAGTTGATCTGGTAAAAGAAACTGGAACATTTTTTTAAAACAGTAATAGTAATTGTGAACACTATTCTTAAAGACAGTGGCAGAGATCTCTTCCTTCACATAAAATAAGACGGTGGATCAGTATTATGCAAAATGTCTGAAGAAAGATTAATACAAGATTTTATTTGCTTGCTGCTGAATACAGATACATGCCTCTTATGGTCTTGATTTTCTCTGAAATACCTGATCACAATTTCAGTGAATATGAAGAAATCAGTTCTGGATTGTATTGTAGTCTTGCTGTTTAGAAGTGCCAGGTACTGTTCTGTTTTACTGAAAATTGTGTTTGGGCTGTGTATTTAACATGATCTTTCTTTGTAAAACTTATTTTTCATCCCTTCCTCCCTGCTTTTTGTCTTTTAGGCATTTCAAGAAGAAGTATAATATTTATTTGGTATTTCTTCCTGAACTTTTATTCTTGATGTGCATCTTTGGCTACCTGGTGTTTATGATCTTTTTTAAATGGCTCGCGTACTCTGCAGAGGACTCCACGTCAGCTCCTAGTATCCTGATTCACTTTATTAACATGTTCCTGTTCACTGGTGGTGAAACAGAGCTCTTCTACACTGGCCAGGTCAGTTGTGATCTTACTAGCTTCTGAAGATCCTGTGTTCCCTATGCAGGTAACACTTTGCCAGTCATGAGAGGCTGATGGCTGAGTCTTCCCCTAGGAAGGGGAATGTCCCTCACTAAGGGAAATTGAATCAACATTATGATTAAGTAACATATTTACTCTTTAATTGGTTATAACATTTTATGTAGTGACTGGTGAAAATACCTATTTCTGGAACAAAATCTCCCAGGTTAAAATTAAGGCTAGAGAACAGAGTCTCATGCTTGTAATTGTGATGCTTTTCTATGTGCTGTAAATAATCTCACTAAACTGAATCTCAGCAATGTCTCTAGAACCCAGTCCTGAAGTTGCTGGATGTCTGTAGCCCAATTTAAGGGCATGATTCAGCAAAATACTCATGTGATGTTCAATTTGGAGTACATTGCCCACTGAAATGAATAGTATGTTTCTTATGCTCAAACGGGCCTTTAAAGGCAAGCAGGAAGCTTTTTCCTACTTATGATTTTGTGATCTAATAGAATTTTTTCTTTTCCCCTCAAACAGGTTGCCCTGCAGAAGTTTTTACTTAGTATTGCTTTTCTTTCTGTCCCTGTACTGCTTTTTGGTAAACCACTTTATTTATATTGGTTGCACGGTGGAGGCCAAGGCATGAGAATGTCCAGGGTGAGTACTGAGAGACGTTTCTTCAGCAGCACCAGAATTCAGCTGCTGCTGTCTTGCATACAGAGCAATGTCCTTACTAGGACAAGTTTTTGACTGTAACCCATAATGGTACACTGTTCCTCTAGCTCTCTTTTTGCCTTTGCTTGTAACTACTTTAAATAGATTTTTGAAATACCACTGGCAGTCCACTTGAAGACACAATATGTTTCCATTTTGTAGGGTGGCTACAAGCTCATTCGGAAAGAAAGTGAAGAAGAACTTTCTCTGCTGAGATGTCATGATGTAGAAGAAGGAAGCAGTCATTTGGATAGTGGCCACAGAGAGGGGGATGGAGAGGAGGTAATGGTTTTATCTGATCTCTAGTTTGTGTGTCCTCAAAAGCAAATTAGAATTGGAAAATCGAGAAGATAACCTGTACACTGATAAGAATCCAGGTTTTGTATGGTTTTATAGATCCTTAAAATTATGGCAAGAGGATGACTGCCCAGCTTCCTGTTAATTAATCTTGAGTTTTCATCAAGACAAAAGTCTCTTTATGTCTGCAAATTACATCTTGTGATGAGGATTATTGCTAATAGGGGTTGGGAGACACAGGCAGCATTCCTCATCTCCAGCTATTGCCACTGTTCAGTTTGGGCAAATTTTTAAAGGTCTTTACTGATTCCACTGATTTAATGTGAACTGAAAGACAAAAAACTGCTTCAGTTTCCCAGAGTATGTATAGTACTTGTTTCACTGGGATAATACACTCTTGCTGCTTATGTGTAGAAAATACAAGAATTGTTTGCTTAAATAAAATGTGTCATAGTTGCATGTAAGGTAAATGGTGAAATTTGCAGTAGTTAGCAGCAAGTACATATATTTAGAGCTTACAGTATTATGGTAGTTATTTTTTTATCACTAGCATTACTAGTAATTAACCCTGCTTTTAAAAATGAAAAAATTGACATTGTAAACTTAGGAGATCAATAGAATGGGAATTAGAACCATGGCTAGTTTTACTGCTTAGAGTTTTCAAGTATAGGTCATGTTCCTTGTGGAAAACAAATTGTATTTCATTTTATCTATCAGCAAAGTAATTGGGCAAACTTAACTGGAAAACAGTAGCATCAGATTATTTTTATTTTTTTTTTAACTGTTGTTTCTGTAATAAGGATCCTAAACACAACTTTCTGAGATTAAATCAGTATATTACCCTTTAATGGAATCTTTTTCCATGTTAAGATTTGCAGATGAATGTTTTTGTTCTCTCATGCTGTACTATGTTGTTCAAATGGCTACAAATGTATTTTTGTATTTTAGTTTAATTTTGCAGATGTTTTTATGAATCAAGCAATTCACACCATTGAATATTGTCTAGGATGTATTTCTAATACAGCCTCATATCTGAGACTCTGGGCATTAAGTCTTGCTCATGCACGTAAGTGGGGTTTATTTTTTTTTTGGCTGGTGGTTTTGTTTCATCTTGATTTTTAATGCTGGTTAGAGGGATGCTGACCTGTTGAAGTGATACTACTATGAAATTATCTTTGGCTTAATTAAAAAAAATCCATGTTTAAACTTGTCACAACCTATGGAAATCCCCCCAAACTAAAATTGTGACTTACTGTTTGGAATCCAGTAATTTTCTGTCTTGATTGGTCTGTGTTGGAAAGAGGCTGATGATCTGAGCACAGTGTTACCTCCCATAACGGCGTGGCAGTAGTCACAATACCACCTCCTGTTTTCCATTGATTGACCAGTTTGGAAGGTATTTAGGCACTTGCCAAAGTCTTAGTGTCATGGTGTAAAATATTGTCATTGGTAGATCTTATTTTGAAATTGAGAGGTACCTTCAAGTGTTCTGGGGGAATGAGGGAAGGCAGGTAATTGGGGTGATAGTTCCTATGTTCAGCAGATCCTGCAATGTTGGTTACACTGGAATACAGGTCAGTGAGAGTAGCTCACTGGGTGAATGTGTGCAGTATCAACATTAATGATTAAAACCTTTTATTTTTTTAATAGAGTTATCAGAAGTTCTGTGGCAAATGGTGATGAGAGTGGGTCTTCGTGTGGATACAACATACGGTGTCTTACTGCTGGCCCCTCTTCTAGCTGTTTTTGCTGTGCTAACAGTTTTTATTCTTTTAGTTATGGAGGGGCTTTCTGCTTTTCTCCATGCTATACGACTTCACTGGTAAGTTCATTTTATCTTTACAGCACTTTAGTGAATATTAGCTTGTTTAGGAGGGATTTTTGTGTCAAAGTATTAGGAGCGCTATTAAAAAGTGTAAAATTCAACAGCATCATGCTACTGTAATAGATATATTTAATAATATTAAATAAATAGCATATTACTTGAATGTGATTGTTCCTCTGGAATATTTTCAATGAATTCAAATATTATATTTGCTTATGGTGAATGTTTAGGACTACATCTGTTTTATAGTATTGCAGCTTTTCATACTGCAGAATATTAGTAACGTGGATAAGTATTTTTAATTTCAATCTGGTTATATCACTGAATGGCTTCAGTCTATTTATTTGGTTCAACAGAACATTTATCTTAGTGAGCAAAACTTTTGCTGAAGTGGGGCTGCCAACCCTTAAGTATTTTAATCCTTTCTTAGCCTTAATATCACAAGCTCTGCACATTGGAGTGGGTTCAGGGAACATTTAATTTGCAACCTGATAACACTTAAAGTATAAGAAAAGGCAGACAAGCAGTATAGAGACAGGAGGCAGAGCTGTATGCATTACAGGGTATTGCCCTCAGGATATTGTATATTTGCAAAACAATTATCTGCAACTAACTTGAAAACAAATTAGTGAGATAGAAATGAGAACTGAGCCCTTGCAGCACAACCTCAGAGTGTTTGAGTCTCTTGAGAAACATGAAAATTACCTGGGACTGTGATGGGAAGGTTGAATAGCTGCACAGAAAGTGTAAGTGACAGGATTAGGATTGTGCGTTTTCAGCCTTTTGTGTTGCATAGTTCTGTCCCTTGACAAGGGGTCATTTTGGATTAATCTACAGATTCTGTTGTGTTTTTTGTCTCATTTCAGGGTGGAATTTCAGAACAAATTCTACTCTGGTGGAGGATACAAGTTTACGCCTTTCTCTTTCAAGCATATTTCTTTACATTTTAATAAAGATAATATGGCATAGTTTGGCTGCTGTCAGCAGAAATGTTTGGAATTGTCTGCAAGTAATCATGTGATTGGATCTCGCCTATGAATGGTTTCTTGTAGGACAAAGTGTTTTTCACTGATTGCCTTATAATGCAGCCAAATAAACCTGTAACATATACCTCCCACAGAAATACACAGAAGATCTGGAGCATCTTGTAAAGTAGATAGATAAGAAATGTACATTTTTCTTGATAAGCTAATGTTGTAAATGAATTTTATTCCTGAAAAAAAACGTTGTTACTGCTTGTCCTAAAACCAGCGTAGGCATTTTTTTTTGGAGGCTGTTTATTTTTTTTTAAATGATTACTTTTAAGTTATCTGAAAGACTTTTTACCATATTAAACATCCATTACTAATAACATAAGTAGGCTCCCACCTCATGCACTTTGGGAACAGTTCAGGCATGCAACAGAAACAAATGCTTTCAGTTTCTATTGCAGAAGGACTATGAGATGTAAATTTAGACACAGCAATGCAACGTGTGCTCTTTTTGGACATATTTAAAACTGCACCCAAAATGTTAACTGCCAATTCTGAGTTCTGCCTGGAGTTATTAATCTTTCACAAGCTCCAGTGATATTTGGTGTTATGGAAGAAGGCAGGATTAGAAGTGTGGGGACTGGAAGTGTCATCCTCTTGGTTCCCTGCCCCGAGGAGCTGGCTGACAGGTGCTGTTCTGCCAAGCGAGTTGTGTGCAGCCCATCACTTGCAGCAACCTTGATGGATGGAAGCTCTGCAAAAAAGTCTTGCACAGTCTGCCTGAGGACTCCAATAAAACAATCAAGCTGTCTACTAGAAATTTGTATGCTGGGTTCTATTTTTAGAGTGTGATCCCAGGTGGATTTTCTACTCAGGAATCAGAACCAGCCTGGATCATGTAAGGACGTAGCTACAGCATTGCTTACCCCGTGTTCTGTTCATTCTGAGCAGCTGCCACGGGGTCGTTCTGTATGATGGTCTGTATCGGTGTGAAAGTGGGGATAGTGCTGTAATGTTCGAACATCCGTGCCATAAGAACAACATAAGTTAAATTTTACACTTGTTTGATACGAATTCCGAATAAAACCTGGTTCCCGCAGTTCGGAGCGGGCCCTTGTGTCGGCAGTAGCCCT